ACAGTTGTTGAGACAACTCAAAGTTCTTACTGCATCAAGTTGCCTTATTTTTTTCTGTTTTCTCAACAATTTATTTTTTACAGTGTAGAACACGACCAAACTAGGACCTGCGGGCCAAAAATGGTCCATGGTAACCATTAAGTTGGCCTATCATCCCATCTGAGAAGAAAGGAGGAATGACAGGTATTTGTTTTTATAGATTTACCTAATAATTATTTTGTTTTATTGTAAAGCTATACAAAAAAGCAAACTGAAATTAAATGTTTCAATTACATGTTGCTTTCTCAGTACTTAGTTGTGGCTGGAAGGACATGCTATGTAAAACGCTTGAATGGTTGGCAGTTCATTCCGCTTTGGCAACCTCTGAAATAAAGACTAAGCCAAAGGAAAATTAATTAATTAATTAAATTTTGTAAATTAATTAGATTTATTGTAAAAACTGTCACTTGACAGATGCACAACATCGGCATCAGCAACTTGACTATTGTAAACAGCATTTAACTCCATAATGTTAACATGAATTATTTGGGGGTTTTTTTGTAATAAATTCATTATAAGGTATAAAAAAAAAGATATAATGCATTAAGTAATACCGTAATTTATAGTTATTTTTAAATATTAGGAAATAAAAAATTAGGAAATTACCCACGCCAACTTTAATGAAATACAGTTTGTATATTTACCTTCAGCCCACAACCCTCAATCAAGTTTGGTTTTTGGTCCTATATAAGAAAATGTTTGGGCACTTCTGGTCTAGAAGCAAACAAGCCAGAGACAAGATATAAACTTTGAAGGTGACGATTGTAAAAAGCAAATGTTCTCCTACCAGATTTGAACACAACCACAGAGTGATTAGTTTTTACTGATACCAGAGAAGAAATTAAAGCTTCTGATCTCTGTATTTTTTCCTTTTTGTCTTTGTTTAAATTGCATAAGCTTACTTAACAGTATTAGATTTAAACAGGAAAGAGCCCAAACATACACTCAAACCTAAAAAAGTGAAAGTGTACAGCATTAATAAAAATTAAAACACTGTGTGTAAGAGGAAAATATCCCTCCTTTATCTAATTCAGCAGGCATCTTAATGTCAAAATTACATAAAAACACATAAGAGATGCAAATCGATTTGATTTTAATAAACTACATTGATGTCAAAACAACATCAAGTGGACATCTGCAATTGACTTTGGCATCTAAAAACATGTTAAATAGGATAGATCTGTGATTAATATGACATAACTGTTTTCAAGGATAATTTTAGATGTCAATTGGACATTGTTTTAACATCAAGGTAGTTTATATGCATTGTAGAGATACAAAATTCTGTGTAAATTTCTCATCTGTACATTATACATTACGTTACATTATAATCTTTTATGCAATTTCTTTTTTCTTTCTTCTTTTTTTTATTTGGTGGTTGTCATTTGGCCATTCAGGTTTTGGTATGAAAAAAATGTGCAATTTTTATCTGTTTTTAATGTCAATTTGATGTCATTTTATCATCAAGGATCCCGCTTTGATCAAAAATGTATCTTAATAGCAGGAGTAAACAGGGCCATTTTTTTCAATTCCCAATGAGCCTGTATCCTCATAATTGCCATTTCCGGCTACACTGAAAATCATACAAGCAGCCACGTGTATAAATAACAGCAAGAGTTCTGGGGAGTGTGTTCAAACACTCAACACTTATGTTCTATGAAGGCACCTTTGTTTGGCAAAATCCCATTCAAACAATAAATGCTTTGCTGTGATTCCTGGCAACCTGCCGAGTTAAAGTCAGAAAACTGCTGAACCATCAAAGCCTCAATCAGTTCTCTGGATGTGTTTCATGATTGTTTGCATGTACACACGTGTTTCTGCGTTTAAACCAGTTATGTATCTTTTCCCAGAATCAGCAGAGCTCTGCAAATAACTCTTCTTCAGGCTGAAACAAACATGCACGCCTGCCAGATCCTCTGCTTGCTTGCAGACGGTCTTACTGCCAGCACTGCTATCTTTTTCTTTGCTTTCCTGTCTGACATGGAGTAAAGTTGGGTGGTGCTGCTGATGTCTTGCAGAAGAGTGGAAATGCCCACCCTTACTCCACCCGGGCCTGAAATACAACTACAGAACAGCCAGTGTTTTAAAAACATGCTCCTACACTTAAACGTCTTCAGTAAAAGTTGCCAATGTTTATACTTCTGCATATTCTGACCATGTAAATATATAGGGTGACCATACTTCAGAGTATAGCTAGCATCCCACACACACTGTGCAAAGTTCAGCTTAAAACAAGTTGAAATAACTTGGTTTTTTTTGTTGTTGGTTTGGCAAAAAATCTGTAAAAATGTCTGAACAACTACATTTCACGTGTTTACTAAACCTAAATCAAAATTTTCTCCATTAAGTTAAAAAGATCCATTTTTGTGAGCAAAACTTTGCAAGTTACCCAAAAAGCTACTGCCAACTTGTTACTTTAAGTTATTCTCAGAACTCAAAGGTTGCAGTATTTCTAACCCTAACAACAACGACAACCTGCACACCTGCAGAAAGACTTTTCAAGAGTTCAAACTTAGCTGATGATTGGTAATAAGCTAGTTTGGCATGCTGTCCCGGGAGAGAGCCCCGAGCTCAAAAGATCCTCGAGCCCGGAGCTCCCTTCCGTTGCAGGGCGAGAGGGGAGTTTGACTCGGGTAGATCTCGAGGACCCCCTCCCTCTTGCTGCGTGAGGGTTGCTAAGGTGATGCGTTGCTGACAGAATTGAATCGAATTTGGTGCTAATTTGGTTTAGTCAATTTACTTAAGTGTCATGTTTTTGGGAGTGTGGGAGGAAACCGGAGGACCCGGGGAAAACCCACGCAAGCACGGGGAGAACATGAACTCCGCACGAAACTGCTGATTGGTTGGGTGGATACCCGAGTCGGAGGCATTTTTTGCTGTGAGGCCACAGTGCTAGCCACTGGGCCACCGTGCTGCCCTGTAGAAAAGAGGAGGAGAAGGGGTGGAAGGGGGGATTCTTCAAAACGAAGATGACTAAAGGTAGGGTGTTTGGTTATTTATACTAGGTTAGGAATAGCCTGATTGGTGGTTCATTCATTAGCTTGACTCGGGGCCAGCTGTGTCAATCATAAGCACGTGATCCTCTCGAAATTAGTTTATGAATAAACTTCACTTAATTTGAATTTTCGTCTCAAATTTACCAAGTTCGCTCTACAAAATGAAACTCTTAGCGCATATGGACTGTTAATTTGTATTTAACTGTTACTGTACGTAAATGGAAGTTTTACCTAACATAATTCAAATTCAAATTCAAATGCTCAAACGATCAAATAATAAATCTAAATGCGTTCTTAAACAAGAAATTAAATGTATTTGATATTTAATTTTAATGAAATGAACAACTCAGAAAAATCCTATAATAATTGAATGACAAATCAAATGCTCAAACTATAATTCAAATGGAGGAGCTAATTTCTGATTCTTGTGATTACACACACACAGCTGGAAGCTCATGATGGACTGAATGCTTGGATTTTGTTTGTTCTTATAATGTATTATCTCTTAGTACCGATTTCCAAAAGAGTTTTTGTGTTTACTCAGTTTCAAACATTTTAGGTCAGTGCAGTTGCTGTTTTCAAAAATTGAGTACATGAGAAAAAGCGAAAGGAAATAAGAATTATTTTTTGTTAGGAGTTTTTTTGTTTACTCAGCTGGCGTTGTTCAGGCAGAAATAGATTTTAGCACCTGTTTTATAAACTACATAGCAGACAGGGCTGAGAAACACTTATATTTTGTTTACAATATGCTCAGTTATTACTAATTATTTATCATTTATCAGTGTGGCATATGTGGTTTGAAGAAACCACACAGATGCTCTGAAGCGGTGTTTAACCATGGATATGGTTGTAGTGACGTCCATTATGAAAATTAACCAGGGTTTTATTATAGTGAATGTGTAGTAGCCATCGTTTACCATTATTAATCTTTTACAGCCATATTTAAACTATGGTTTTTGGCACAAGTTTAATTTGTGGTCACCTTGGTTAAACTACACTTTTCATTTTATTTTCTTCTTTATTTGTAGTAAAAACATGGTTAATTTCGTTGTGTCACTCTTTTTTTTTTTCTGATTGACTTAAAATTAGGTATTTTCTAATCATAACACAAGCTCCTGATTCTTCGAAGACTTAAATTACACCCACAAAAAAAAAAAAAATAATAAAATATATATATATGAATTTATAGTAAATATAGTGATTTTGAACCATGATATAATAAATTACCTGAATTAATCTGTTGTAGAAGTAACACAGTTTCTATGTATGGTGACCTAACTGTAGTAATAAACAATTGACCCATTACTATGTTTTTTTACTATGTTTTTTAATATAATTGCGTATATTATACTACAATAAACAACAGTTTGCAGTTGTGAAACTAAAGAATACTGCGGTATTTACTACAGTTTGTCACTTCATTACAGATAATATGCTGTAGTGTGTTGTAAATACTATAATACAGTAAAATATACTTGGCTAGTTTGGTTCAAAAAGTGTATTTACTATGAACTACTATAGTACTTTTTCATGTAGGCAGAGAAGGAAAGTTGTGTATCGGCCAAAGATACAGGTCACCCTAATTTTTCAGAAGTGTGACACACTAATCCCACAGTAACCCAGTACACTTTCTCAAGAATCAAGGCAATTTAAAGCCACAAATGTTCTTCAGAAATCGCAGAGGTGCATTTTTTCTCGCAGAGGTCAGTTCTAAAGCATTTTAAAACGTGTAAATTGATTTACACTAATGCTTTACACACACTTTCGCGGTTTGCTTTATATTATTCTCTAAAAGCCAAACGTTTTGCTGAAATGTAGGGCAGAGCTGTCAAACGCAGCTGTCGGTCCCCCTGCTGGTTGGAGCTTGTATTGACATCATCTGCTCGGCCGCTCTGGATTGGCTCCAGGCGCATAAAGGCTGGCGGTCAGAGTGCGCGCTCTCTACTCGTTCTCAAACTGGCGCAGCGCTGCTGGGAGACACTTCTGCACTTTCAGGAGGACCACAGACGAACAGAAGACACCGGCTATAATCAGCTGGGGACTTTTGTGAGAATTCAGCGAGTTCTGCTGTTCACTTTTGAAGCTGCCTGTGAGAATATAATCGCGCCTACTTTGGATTTTACTCTTTGAGATCATGAACTAACGTGAACTTCATTCACGGAGTTTTAAACGGCGGGATTTATACAATTCAAAGGTAACCTAACGTTAGTCTCTTTAAGGGACAGCTATCGCTTTTATACAGTCTGAATCTATTATAAAGCGCATTAGGAGTGGCTTTTGTTTATGTTTTAATTAAATAAAAACAAATGCATGTGACTGGTCTGCGTATTATTCTGTAACGAGCACTTTTGGAAACATGTTCGGCGGCGTTTCCAAATCTAGTAAGATGCCTACCTAGGCGGCATTTTGGGCATCAAAATATGTGCGCTAAAAAAAGTTCTGGTAGTGTTTTAACTCTCTTCAAAAACACGCTATGTACACTGGCACCATGCTAGATTTAGTACAGTCATTATACATTGTAATTATTTAGTAGCCTAAATGCTTTTTAACGAATGAAGTCAGTTGGTAAACTACTGTATAGGGCCATGTACTGTAGTTGTCAAACTGAGTTGTCACAAGGATTATACCTCAGTAAGCAAGGTTTTAGGTGTTCAGGAGAAGTTGTCACATCTTATATTGGTATATACTTACACAATATTTAGTGTTTTAAGTCAGATCAGCAGTTTGAAGTAGTTATTACATTAACATTTTGCTGTTTCAGAAATGTTGTTTAGGTTTAGACACATTTTTATATTTAGAATTAAATTTAGATTATTTTTTTACAACCTACTTAAATGTGAATGTATCTGTGTTAAAAATGACTCTCAAAAATCCTTTAAACCTGAGGAGAAATTGTGTACAAGTTGTGAGAACTATCTCTGTTCTTCCATATAAACCATATATGTTATTACTTTTGTTTCAGGCTTCTGAAGGAAACAACAGGTCTCCCTGTGTGGCTTTGTTATGGGACTTTAACTTTAAACACATCTTGCATCGTCTTTCTTCTTGGAGTGAATTTGGCTAGTTTAAAAAATTATAATTGCGCTCTTCCAGAAATGGTGGGGCATTTACATTTGCAAGCTATGGATGACAGTTTGAAAGGAAAGAACCGAGAGGGACTGCTCGATAGTCCGGATTCGGGACTCCCTCCAAGCCCCAGTCCACCCTTCTACTCTCTGTCGCCGGGGATTCTCGAGTCGCGGTCCGCCAGCTGCTCAACCCCGACCGAGCTGCAAGGATACTGCAGAAAGGAGAGCCGGGAAGGCAAACTGGTATGCAATCATCTCAAAGCTTTAGAGGAGAACCAAGAAGTGCATTTTCCTGGATCAACATCCTTTGCAGGCAGTGGAACAATATCCTTATCAGCAAATCAGTGCACTGATTTTAAGGATAGGGGTAGGGTATCGTTTGCTGTCCAGGAAAAGTATGTTGATGCAGGAACATGTCCTACTTTGGTAAATCGTACTATGCAGTATTTAGACATTATGTATGACTCAGGTTTCAAATAAACACATCACATCATGATGTACATCAGACATATTTTTATTACAATCAGTTTTCATTGACTACATTCACATCAAGGATATTACTGAGAGCAGTGTTCAGTATGGTTACACTCACACACACTTCAGTTACAGACAAGTGTGACTTCTGCACTTTATAAGTGAGTGTGTTTTCTCTTTGGGGATTTGGAGAATGAGCTGTGTGTCATCCAAAGGTTTTAGATAGAGTTGTTGTCTAACATGAGTTTTGTGAGCGGAGAGATGAGCTTGCATCTTAAATGCACCCAACTTTTTTTGGATCGAAAGTTGACAAAAGAAATAATAACTTGGTTCTGTGCATGGGTTTTTAATTGGATGCAGATCTTAAATGTGAGCTTGAGGTTGTGTGTTAGAAAGCGAAAGGGTTTAAGCAGGATAAATGTTTTGATGTGTCCTGCAAACACCAGAGACAAGTCTGTCATACTAGAAGATCCTTTTATTAAAATTTAAATGGGCAATGTTTGCTTGAGTTGTATTAGAACTTTAAAAGAGAGGTTTCCTCAAATCCAAGGTATTTAAAGGCTTGTAGACTGATTTTTAACAGGATGTTTTTGGTGAGAAAATCAAAATAGTTCAGATATTAACTCTTGTAGGAATCCTTCATCTAGGGCTGGGCGGTTAATTGAAAATTAATCGAAATCAACATTCAGAACCTATAATCGATTGAATTTTTCCTGAACAATTTTTTCAATTACTTTCCCTACCGCATGTGGAGTCACATGACCCAGCTCTGTTAAACGCTGAGGGTGATTAACTTTGCACTTTGCAGCCACATCTGCTCTCTGGTCAAGTAGTACGATGGACCCATTTTTAGCCTTACTTTGCACTACATTGGCGATGATTGGAAGCTGCATCAGAGATGCCTTGAGACGGCATATTTTCCATTACATTAAAATCATTATTCACATTAATATATTTGTTTACAGAAGAAATGCACTATTTAAAATATTATTTACAGCCTGGGTATACAAAATTTATTTTATTTAAAAGAGAAACTGCTTAATTTCTACTTTTAATATGAAATAGATTGAAAATGTTAATTAAAAATATTCAAAAGTGCAAGTTGTTTAGGCAAAGTGTGCTTTAATTTCAGTTGTTCAGAATTGTTGTTTATTAATAAATCATAGATAGTGTGTGTTTCCTTCAGTTATTATAAACTTAATTTATGCACCAATCATACAAAAACCTCTTACTTGCAATTTGGGAGCATATTTATGGAACAAAACTTTTTAGTGAACTATGATGGCAAAAAAAAAAAAAAAAAAAAAAAAAAAAAAATATATATATATATATATATATATATATATATATATATATATATATATATAAAATAATCATTCATTAATCGTAATCGAGTTAAAATGTTCAATTAATCGAGGTTTTGATTTTAAGCCAAATCGCCCAGCCCTACTTTCATCCATATGAAAAATGAAACGAATGCTTATACAATGTGTACAATAATGTTGAAAGAGTTATTCTGTTTATGAATATTAACATATTTATGTTAACGTCACTCTCAGCTTGGAAAGTGTCTGGATGTTCATTATTAGAATATCGCAACAAATATTTTTCTACTTCCTTTTTAGCTTCTAATTAAGTTATGATAAGACAAATCTTAATGAAATCCACTGTGAAAATATCTGAGCATTGTATCATGTTGGATCTTTTGTGTTATGTGTGCATGAGTGCGGCATGAGAAATAAGCTGCTGACTGCAATTTTCTTAACTCTAAAAGTCAGCAAGACCCGAAAGTTGCTACATACCTTTATTTCAGAATAATGATGTATTTTGAGAAACTGAGATCAAAAATTGAGTAGGTGGGGTTTTATTTTTGCACAAATAAAAAATCATATTTTACTCAACTGCAAATAGTTGGAGGGGTCGTGGTTTAGCATATTTCAACCAAGCTGTCAAACTGAAATCATCAGAGAAGGATTACAGAAATAAATGGTTTGAATTTATTTTAATTATTTTTGTTCAATAGTTTAATCTACACAGATTAATTAGCCACAAAAAAACATTGTTAATTAAGATTTGTTGCAGACCCTACAGAGTCATTAATAACAAAGGTTTATGAATTACACAAACAGAACCTTTAATTAAAAATGACAAGATCACATATTAAATTAAAAATACACATGAATTAATAATTCACAATAGGATCAATATTATGCATTGATGGGGACTTTAAATAGTGTCATATCAGCTGCGATATGGAAGTCACCATTTGTGATATTTGCTCTAGTCATTGTCACTATGGCTACAAATGATATTTGCAAACTGTAAAGGGGTTTGACTTCAGTTACTCATCATAGCTGATTCTGTATGAACAGCAGTTTAAAAGTGAGCAATCAGTGATTGAAAGAAATTAGGTTTAGTCCAAACAAAATGTTTAAATATTGAAGAACATATACATTTTTTTTGTGAACACAGACAAACACTGTTGGCGATATAGAAGCCAGGGACAAATAATGAGAAGTAATAGGACAAAATCCTGAAATAGAAAGGGGTTCAGGTGCTCATGCCTCTCGAGACACACTCTAATGAAGTGAGGATGACAAGGAGCGGCGAGAGAGAGAAACAGACAGAGAGAGTTTCTGTAAACAAGTTGACCTTGTGTTTGGTGAATGTGGTAACAGTAACTGATCTCTCTCTGTCCCTCCTTCCTCATAGCAACCCGTTTACAGCACACACACACACATGCACAAATAAACAAGCAATGCAGATACACACACATATATAGATCATAGCAGTACAGTATTACTCGACAGTGCATTCACGTTACAGTATACCACAGCACAAGTGCGTCGGCATATCCCAGAGTCTTATTTCTGCCTCTGAAAGGTTACATAGCACACTAAACCAACAGTGTCCACATCTGACATGACCATTCATTCAAATCTAAGTGCCCTAAGGCTACTTTATCCTAATGAAAACCTCCTGGCAGCATTTGAGAGTTTTAGATTAACCACACAACTCTAAGTTTCAGATTTCTGACGCCTCCAACACTTCATTTTGAATGCATCTTGTAGGGGAGGAAATGAAGTTTTCCCTGGGGAAACACAGCTCAGTTCATGACAGGCAGACTGTGCGTTCAATCGCTAACAAAACAACAATTATTACTTCTATTAAACCGATTGCAGAACTGAAATGGTGCTTGACAGACTGTTAGCATGATCAATCTGTATTATTTGTCTCTGACATGCAGTATAAATGCTTTGCCTGAGCATGCCGCTTAGAGCAACTCTCTAAAGGAGTTTTGGAGCATACTGTGTAAACGATCACTCAGACACTCCTCTTCAAGAAACATGCATGCACTTGTTGGCAGACCGCTCCAATAAAGCGTCTTGCTTAGTAAAACAGAATAAAGCAGGATGACTTTATTTGTGCAGCATGATTTTTTAATGCTTGTTAGCAGTACGCCTTTAACAAAAGCTCTCGTGCAATAATCAACAAAACATCTCTCTGTAGCCGTTCCTCAGAATATGCTCTTTCCAAAATCCTATTACTTAAATGTATACAAATGTGGTCAAGCCTGCAGGCAACATGCAGTATATGAGGACCAAATGCTCTCGCAGAGCAGAAAAGAAAATGTGGGCATACAGAGCCATCATTGTTTGCAACACTTTGAATTTTTCCACTCATAGCAACCCTGCCTTGCGAGGGTGTCGATAATAGCATGTATCAGTGTTTGCACACTGTTTGTGCGGCTTTTTCTCATTTTGTGGCAATCGGTCTGTTTTGAGAGACACGTGTTTGTAAAACTCTCTCCAATCTATTTTGGTGTGGCAGGCATAACAGTTGCAGTCAGTTACATAAGAAACTGATGACCTCTGTTTGCTGAAATAAAAGAAGGGAAGGTTGCAGACACTGGCACCTCTGGAATAGTCTAATGCTGCTATATATATATCAGCAACATGAGTTAACTGCTAAAATTAGAGATTATTTTATTAATGTCAATGATGGATGTTTAATTAACGGTGCATGCTTGTTTTTATTGTTCTTACATTTGATTACTTTTATTATGATCTAACACTGCAAGTTAATTGGTTGCACTTTATTTTGATGGTCCGTTTGTTGAATGTAACATTGCATCTACATGTCAATTAAATCTCATTAGATTATGTGTAGATTGTTAGGTTGGGGTTCGGGTTAGTGTAAGTTGACATGTACTTGCAAAGTTTCTTATAGGCAGTTTAGTAGCAGTATCAACAGATATTAAGCAGATAGTTTTCTAATACCAACCCAGGCTCATTCAGAAAACCTCTATATACATTTCTGGAGACCGCAAAATACATCCCGGTGTTTTTTTTTTTGATCTTATTGAGGAGATCTCAAATTTCTTTCGCTAGTGCCATTCGCGCCAGCTGTTCTCGCTTAAACCCGCCAGAGGTCGCTGTTGACTGACTGAATGACTGACTGACTGATTGATTGGCCGATCGACTGACCCACCCTCAACCTAAACCCAACCGATTTTATTGATTGACCCACCCACCCACTTCCCTAAACCCAACCAACCAAATCCCTTATAAAAGACAATTAAAGGCTTAGGGCTCTATTTTGACGGTCCATGCGCAGAGCGCAAAACGCAGGGCGCAAACGCTTTCAGGGCGTGTCAGAACGCATTTTTGCTAATTTAAGGACGGGAAAATTCGCTTTGCGCCATGGCGCATGGTCTAAAAGGGTTGAGTTTATTTTCTTAATGAGTTATAGGTGTGTTTTGAGAATAA